CAGCAAGAGAAGACCTCACAGGGAAAAGGGGAAAAGGGAACAAGGAAAGCAGAAGGAGGGAGAACAGGAGGCGGAAGAGGACTGGCTTCCGTTCTGGACAGCGAGAGCGAGGAGGCCGAGCTGTAGCCCTGCCCCAAATCAGTACACCAGCACTTAGAAAATGCCCACTCTGCACAGGGCGCCCCGAGGCAGCACTGGGCTGAGTCGCCAAGAGCCACCCACGGCTCTCCCCGGGCTGCCTCTGGCACGGGCTTCTGAACGCCTTTCCCCACCACGGCCCTTTGAGCATCCCCACCCCCACCCCACCTGACCTCTCACAGCAGGTTTCCAGCCTGGACCAGTGGCAGGGAGAGGAACTGGGCCCTCTCACAGCGCAGTGTGCTGCTGGGGCTCCAGAACCTTCGCAGAGGTCTAGAGACCACCCGTGTCCCAACCCAGAGTGGTCTCCCAGGGACTAAGGCAGAACCACTGTCCCACTGAAGGGTCACCTGTGGCCCAGCACTGTCTGGAATAAGCCCTTTGCTGAGTGGCCTTTGTTTCTGCTGGTCAGCGACTGGGCCCTAGGGCTTGCCGACGGACAAGGGCAGTGGGGCGGCAGAGCTCCATGGGGGAACCAGTGTCTCTTCTAGGCTGAGGAGTGCAAGGGCTTCGCTCCAGAACAGTGACTGGCCTGGGAAACTCTTGTTAAGAGTTCTGCCAACAGGAGACTCCGAACAGCTCCCGTGACAGGGGGCCTTTCCTCTCCTCAGGCCTTCTCACCAGGAAACAATGATGCCCCTGGGGCCCACTGAAGTCTGGAGACATCCTGGTCATCGGGGCTGGGAGGGGGTGATGCTGCTGGCATTGAGTGGGTAGGGGCCACAGAGGACACAGCTCCACAGAACAGAGAATGAACAGCCCCAAATGCTAACAGTGCCAAGGCTGGGAAACGTTGGTCTGGAACCTACCAAATCCCTGTAGCCCTGAGGTTTTGAGAGGGGTGTTAGGAGGCAAGGAGCCCAGGTCGGGTCGGAGAGATCACGGATACACTCCTACCGGGGGAACAGAGACCAAGGGCGGGGCAAGGAGCCCGGGCAAGGTGGGCCCAGCCACTGCCCCGCCCTTCTCTAGACCGTGACAGACAGACCCCGGCATCATACACAGACCCCTGCCCCCAGATCCAGGAGATCGAGGCGTCTGGCGTTACTGGCTGTCTGCTGCTCCAGCCCCAGGAGGGCTCCTGGCTTCTGGACCCTCTCCCTGTGAGCCCCGAGACAGACGGACAGATGCAGAGATGAGCTGTGGCGGGGCTCCTGGGGCCCTCGGGACTCACCTGTCCGGTAGCCTGGCCCGAGCCGTCCGAGCACACAAACTGCACAAACTCCTTCAGCGAGTCCTGCCCGTGGTGGTGGTGGTAGCGGATGGTCGGGTGCGTGAAATACGGGCTCGACTGCTGGATGATGGACGTGGAGGGGAAGTGCAGCGCTGATGCTGTGGCCCGAGGGCTCCCTGCGTGTACATGAGTGGGAAGAGAAGGGCATCAGGGCCCAGGAGGCGGGTGGGGGGCCACGATGGGCGACAGCGGGGGGCGGGGGCCGCTGGTCAGACAGAGAGCGCTGAGGAGCCAGAGGAAAGGGGAGAATGGGGTAGGAGCAGGGCCAGGACCAGGGTGAGGAGAGTGAGAGACTTAAGGCAGCGCCTACTGACTCAGCAACCGGGGCGAGGAACATTTTTTCAACGTCCTCCGTCTTCGTCATTTACGTAATCTCTGCACCCAACGTGGGGCTTGAACCCACGACCCCAGGATCGAGAGTCGCAGCTCTACTGACTGAGCCAGCCAGGTGCCCCGAGGTAAGTAACGTTTCCTTTTTAACTGGAGAGAGAGCGTGCCTGCTTTTGCAAGCACGACTGAGGGAGGTGCAGAGGGAGAGAGAGAATCCTAAGCAGGCCCCAGGCTCAGCGCAGAGCCCGACTCGGGACTCGATCCCACGACCCTGGGATCACGACCTGAGTGGGAATCACGAGTCGGGAGGCTCAACCGACCAGGCCACCCAGGCGCCCATGAGGTAACTAACACTTCAATGCAATATTTTTAAAAAGTCAAATTGGCAAACTAGGGCTAGTCAGCCAGCTGCCTGTCTTCGTAAATATTGATTAGAACCAGGGCTGGAGTTAGAGCGACACGAACAAAGCAGGACCGTGCAAGTACAAGGCCAGCCCCGTCTTTTGTTGAAAACGTTGATATCTGTTCGTCGCGTGTTTTTCGCACTGGTTCTAATTTTTAAAAACATGACACTACGTTATCATGTGTCTCGACGGCTAGGGTTTCGGCTCCTCGTGACGTCCTGCATCCTGGTGAATGCCGCACTGGCTTCACCCCGGCCCAGGGCCCAGGTGGGAGCCTGGATGAGGGACAGAGGAGGCCAACAGCTCCTGGTCTCTGGGTAGAGACGGGGCCCCTTGCCTGTGTAGGATGAGCCCTGGCCACGCACACCCCCCCCCCCCCCCCCCCCGCTCCTGCATACAAATGACCGTGCATCTGGCCGAGGCGCCCAGGCCACGTTCTGGAGCGCTCAGCCCCACCGTCCTCGCACACGCGTCCTCCCTACATACAACTCCCACCCCAGCGCAGGCCCCGGCTCTTCCCTGAGCCGAGTCCTCCCCCTCCAGTCTGTTTCCAATCAGCTCGCTCTTGCTCTCGGTTTCATTAGGGGGCTGAGGAAACTTGGCTTCTCTCTGGAGTTCATAAAAGCGGGGCCGAGCTGGGCCTGCCGCCCTCCCGCTGCCTGTACCGAGGGCCTGGGGTCCCCGCCCCCACCTTGCGGCCACCACACCCTGCCCCAGTGCAGGCTGCCTCTGGGCTCTCAGCCAGGAGGCCCTGAGGAGGAAGCCGGGAGGGGAAACCTCACTCTTCTCTGCATCCTACAGAAGGGCCCACAAGACGGCGGGCGGGTGGGCGGGCGGACACGGGGCAGGGGCCTCTTTGTGCCAGAAGGCTACCAAGGGGGTGGGGGGCAAATGAGGGAGTGGCAAGGATGAGGACTCAGCTCCCACAACTCCCTGCCTGATTCCATCCCCTCGGGAACGCTGAGGGGTTCCCCCCGCCCCCACCGAGCCCCCTCTCCCAAGACGGAAGCAAGACAGCCCCCCACAGCAGTGGGCCTGTTCCTCTCCCTGGAAGACAACCCGGGAGCCAGCATTCATCCCCTGTGGCCCAGCCCTTCGCTTTCGGAAAAGGGCAGGGAGGGCCTCAGAAGGGAGCCCGGCTTCCCGCGAATGCTCCTGTCAACCCGGGCCCCCACACCGCCCTGGGCTGGTGCCGGGGACACCGGACCCCGACCCGACCCGGGGCTCAGCCAGCGGGCCGGGAGAGAAGAGGCAAGAGGGGGACCGAGGGAGGAGTCTGTGCTTCCCCACCCGCCGCTGGCAGGAGGAAAGACCTGGGCAGGCGCAGGCCCGAGGCCTCGCGAGTCACACGGCAAGCCGCAGGGGGCCTCAGGACGGGCCCGTGCGGCACAGCGCACCCGTGCGCACACACCCAGGCACACACGCAAGCACACACGCGTGTGAGAAGCCCGGGAACAAGTGAGGAGGTGCCGCCTGGGACGCGGGGCCCGTGCCCGTGCCCTCTGCCTACTCCGGGGGCCTGGGGCTGTCGCTCGGGGTGGCCCTAGCTCCCTCACCTGGCCAGCTGGCCCGCCGCCTCCCCCGCTGCCCCCCCCCCCCCCCCGGGGCCCGCAGTTCTCACCTGGTCTGACTCCAGCAAGCACAGGCAGCGGGTGGTGAGTGAAAGCCATGCGCGGGGAGCTGCCCTGAGAGGAGAGGGCACTGCAGAAGTCCAGCTTTCCTGACTTCTTTAGAGAAGCCGGGCCTGGGGGGAGGAATCGGCAACACAGGGCAGGTTTAGCCGGGCTGGGGTGCGAGCAAGGGAGGGCGGGAAGCCAGCAGCTAGCTCCTTCTCTTCCCAGGCCCCCTCCTGGCTGCCCCTGCCCCACCACAGCCCTTCCTGCCTCCTTTGCCCGCTTCCAGCCCCGACTGGCCAGCCGCCTCTGAAGGGAGAGGAGTGTGCTGGGCCGGGGACAGACCCGAGGGCCCATCTTGCTCTCTGCCGAGCGGATAAGTTCAGAGGGCACAGAATGAAGGGGGGGGGGGGGGGGGGGGGGGGGGGGAGAAAGGTGTGCAGGAGGAGCCCTAGCGAGCTAGGCTGAGGGTGAAGGAGACCTCAAGGAGGCACGTGCCGGGGTCTGCTCTGTGGGGCCCTGCAAGGGGGGAGGCTCTGGTAGGAAGAAGCCACCAGTCCTCAGGAGGGACCGAGGGGGTGATGCCGCACCCGACAAGAGAGTGGGGAAGGGGCTGGAGGGCCCGGGTGGGCCCCGGGGACAGAGCCGGACAGGAAAGGACTCCCCTGCCAGGGGATCCAGAGGCTGGGCAGCCCCAGGGAGGGACATTCCAAGGCTCTGCTCCGCTCCCGCTGCCAGAGATGGCATGGCGTTCAGTGGGAACCGGGGCACAGAGCTCCCCGCCTGTAGGATCCTGACGATGCCAACCAAGTTCATCTCTGAGCCCAGGGCGCACGATGTCCAAATGGTGCTAGGACACAGCAGGGCCCCTGGGCCAGGTCCTCCAGGGGAGTCTGTCTCCGGTCCTGGGCTGAGCCTTGAGGCCGTGCCCAGGGCCCGGGGGGGGGGGAAGACGGTGTGGAGACCTCCAGAGCTGCCACCTTTGAGGCAGAGAATCGGTTTGAACTGGGGGGGGGGTGAGGGGGCTGCAGTCTTCACTGCAGGAAGGGTGGGGGGAAGGGCGAACTCCCAGCCGCCAGCAGAGGCGTTATCTGGCAGCAGCTGTGTGCCACCTGATAGCTGGCACGGTGAGGGGGTGGGGAGCACCCCCACCAGCTGTGCACAGCTGTCCCCGTGGCCGCACAGCGCCTCCCCAGCTGTTCCCTGTCCTGCAGCTGGGCTGCTTAATTGGCGATTTGTCGCAGCACGGGGAAACAACGCAGCGGGGGGGGGGGGGCATGGAGGAAAAGAGGGGAAAGCGAGGAGGAGCCAGGGGTGCTGCAGGAGGATGTTGGGGGGCCGTGCGCGGCAGGACAGCTAGAAGGAGCAGACACGTCAGGCACCAGAGCAGACAGCTGAGAAAACAGAGCAGGAGCCAGGGAGGGGACATCTCCTCGGGAAGCGGGTCTGGGCAGAGGGACTTGGGGGCTGAACCCCAGGAAACAGCTGTGGGCGTGGCTCTCGAGGCGCTTGAGTCCTTGAGGGGGCAGTCCCTTAACTGAGGCCCTGGCTGGGGAGTCTTCAGGGCCTTCTCAACCCCTTCTCTCTGCCCCGGGGAAGTATCTGGGCTGTGTTGGCCCAGGCACCTGCTTGCCACGAGGGAACCCTGGGGGAGGCACCCAAAGGCCCGCCAGGGAGCTGTCCCACAGGGATGAGCTTCGCAGTGGTTACAGCCCGTACCCTCAGACACGCTCAGACCCTCCTCCCCTCCTCCCAGGGAGCTGAGAGCGGGAGCCTGTGTCTGGGCCGCGGGAAAGCAGGAGCGCCTCCCCGCCCTTCTGCCTCGCTTTCCCCCAGTTCCTACCCCTGCCCATCCACGTGGCCCATCTCTGTAGACGCACTTCTGGAAAACGCCAGGCAAAGGGACGTCGGGTCAGACCCTTCTCTTCCGGCTTCGAGAGCAAAGCCCCAGGCCTGACCACAGCAGACATGCCCCACGTACAACGCCCACACACGGGTCGCACTCTCTGGCCCCGAGAAACCCACACCTCGAGGACACACACAGGTTGTACCACCCGTGCGTCAGGCAGAAATAGCCTGCAGCCAGTCTCCTCATACATTTATATGTGCATGCGCGCGCGCACGCGCGCGCACACACACACACACACGCGCGCGCGGGAATACACATGCACACACTCTCCCTCCTTTCCATCTGGGCTCTCTGGGTCTGCTTATGCCTCCCGTCAAGACTGGAGGTGAAGGTGGGTGGGTTCACCAAGAAAGGGGTGGTTGGAGGCTATTGGGAGGACTGAGCTAGCTTCCTTTAGACCTCTGCCCTTCCCTACCTTTCCTGCTTGATTGGAAAATGATTCTGGTCATTCTTTCCTAGGCTCTGCTCCTCTCTGTGATGCTGGGCCCGTCAGACCAGTGGTTCTCAACTCAGGATGATTCTGGTCTCCTCTCCCCCTATGCCAGAGGATGTTCAGCAATGTCCAGACGTTTCTGGTCATTATACTTTGGGGAGGACGGGGGAGTTGCTACTGGCTGGCGGCTGGAGGCCAGAGCTCTGCTCAGTGCCCTGCAGTGCATAGGACGGCCCCACCACGGAGAATGACGTGGCCCCAAACGTCAACAGTGCCCGGATTGAGAAACTGCTTTAAACCATGAGGACCGTAGGAGCTAGGGCAACCCCTCCAGAGAAACAGCAGGAGACGGAGACCAAGGAGGCTCGAAGTCTGGGGCCTCTGCCTTCCTTCCACCACACCTGTGGGCTCTGCGGCCGAGTTAGCCGCAGCCCAGCTCCTCACCTCCACTCCCTCCTTTGGCCCGGTCCGCCCTCCTCTGGGAGATCAGGAGGTAGCGCCTCCCACAGCACGGGAAGCAGAGGGAGGCTCGCCAGGTAAACCGGGAGGGAAAAAGAGGCGCCAGCCGCCCCGCTCGGGGTTGGCCCTGCAGCACCCATACCTGCGTCCACGTCGTTGGGCCACCCACTGGACTGGCTGCTGCCAGCTGCTGGGGAGCGGCCTGTGCCAGGATAGAAGACATCATCGACAGGGCTCTCCATCTCGCTGTCATCGATGGACTTGGGGCGCTTGGTGGTGCTGGGGAAGAGGATCAGGCGGGACAAGGGAAGATTGACGTACCGGCACCCGAACTGCGCCCCGGTTCGCGCCGGTGACCCGCCGGGTGGGGAGCAGGCGCCTGATGACCGCAGCATTCCCAAGCACTCGCTACGTGCCTTCCCCTGAGACCAGACGGGCCCTAGAGTCCCTCGGGACCCCGCAGGTCTGCTCCTCCTCCTCGAACCCCTTCTCAGCCCGTGATACCTTCATCCGCAAACCCCCCCTCAACTGCTTCTGTGGTCCCACCTTCTATTTCCCATCAGCCCCCAGGGACAGGGCAAGTCGAGAGGCACTCTCCAGGGACAAAAATGCCAAGGGGTGCTACGGAATTCAGACATCAGGATACTGTGTTCTTTTACGTCAAAATATCACTAACACGAGAACATTATAACATCATAGTGCGATACTTTAACCAATAAAAATAAATTCCCAAAACCTCACGATGAACCAAACGTTCAAGCTTTTTAAAAAAGCACAGGGTCCCTTCCTGCCCCCGAACAACCGGCCCTGACAAGGGCCGAATGTGCCCACCTCCCCAAAACCTCTCAGCTCTGTCCGGTCCTCTCACGCCACTCCCCTGCCCAACTGAGGCCCTCCCCTGCTCCAGCCTGCTGGGAGGGCCTCTAACTGGCTGTCAGCCCCGCCCACACGTGCTGCTGCTAGGGGTACTTTCTAGAACACAAATCCCCAGCATCTCCTGCTTAAAACCTAAAACCCTTCAGTGGGTTTTACGTCTAAACACCTTCCGCTGGCCTCCAAAGCCCTCTTTGGGGGTCCCACCCGGACGTCCATCCTTGCCTGGGATAGAGGTTGCTCTACCTGGAGCACCCACCCCGTGCCTGTAACAGCCCCCGTACGTCTGGGCTCATGTCACTTGCCCAAGAGAGAGGCCTTCTCAGATCCCCACGGGGAGTGCCTTGTAGGCAGAGCTGGGCCCCGTTGGGGCTTATGTCCCCAGCACCAAATGCCCAGCGACAGCACAAAGCAGGAAGCTCAGGGGGCTGGCGGCACGCTGGGCCCGGGCTGCTCTGGAGTCAACACCCTCAACAAGGGGTGATAGCTGCCTGCAGCCCCCGAGACGGCCTGGGGATCGGAGGGGAGGGCCAGGGTCCTGGGCTCACCTGGTGGAAGGAGGGGAGGTGATGGACCGCCGCCCCAGGGTCACCTGGTTTATGTTGTAGTAGCTGGGACTCTCCAGGTCCGCCAGTGAGAAGTTGGGCCCTGATGCTGTGGCAACAGGAGCTGGGAAAAGGCGAGAAGGTGATGAGGTTTGGAAGGTGTGGAAGGCTCAGTGGGGCCTGTTTTGTTGTCACGAGCAGCTCCCCAGAAGCCTCCTCCTGGCTGGGCGGCGGGGGGGGGGGGGGGGGGCGGTCTTTGGGGAAGAGCCCTTGGTTATGATTTTGTTTTCCTCCAAAACAGTGGAGATTAGAGATAGGGCTCTCTGGGCACCTCTGCTCCACCTAGCCCAGTACCAATGGGCAGAGTGTCCCAGGAAATCCTGTCTGCCCCCTACTAGGACCCCACCAGCTGGAGGGGGACACATGGGGTCCGAATCCCCCCTCCTCACACCCCCGGTCTGCTGAACTCAGCCACGGCTGGAAGAAAGAACTCACTTACTCTGTGATACTCTCACCAGCTCCGTCACATTCCAGACCCCGGAAGTCACAAAACAGTCCTGGAAACTTAAGTGCCCTGAAGAGTGGAAAGGACAAGTGAGTGAGTCAGGCAAGGCTCGGAGGGGCTACCTGCCTGTCTCCCCAAAGCTCTCCCCACTCTTGCTTCGACTCGCTTCCTCCCAAGCCTCGTGTTCCAGACACAGGCCGGCCCTCAGGGCCCTCACGTCTACACGGAGGACCGAGCATGCTTCAGGGGAGCCCCCACCCCCTTGGCCATCAGCTGAAGTTCAGCTGAGGAACAGCTGAGTCGAGAGGAAGAAATGGGGGCAGACAGGAGGCCAGGTTGGCCAGGGTGTTGGAGGGCAGAGGAGGGCGAGGGGGGCAGGGCAGGCCCAAGAGGCCAGGCGTGGGCCAGCGGGAGTTGTGGAGGGGCACTGACCGTTGGGCAGTGGTTTGATGTCCGCATCTCCTTGCTGGTTTGAACTATCTGATTGTCCGGATTCTGCGGGAGACACAAAGGGGAGAAGAGGTCAGGATCGAAGCGCCCCACCAACGCCAGCCAAGGAGCTGCGCCTTCAGCCCTGCAAACACCTTCACAGCACCCTCTCCTCGGAGGGGAGCAGCCTGGGGGGACCTGGAGGAAGAAAGTGCTACTGACAGTGGAGCCAGACCATTCTCCGCGGCGGGGCATCCTGGGCGCCGCAGGGTGTGTCTGGCAGGAGCCCTGGCCTCCACATTCTAGATTCTAGTAGCACCCCAGTGTGCCAACCAGAACTGCCTCCATGCACACTGCCCCGTGCGCCCCGGGGGGCGAAGTCGCCCTCAAGTGGGCAGCAGTGGCTGAGAGCCGGGGCAAGGAGGGTGCCCGTGAAAGAAGCCAGGGACCGCCTCTCTGCACAGCTGGGACGAACCCCAGGGTCCCCCACCCTCCGCTCAGCCCAAGCCCCCAGAGGAGCAGCCCTGTCCTTCTCTCACTTCATTAATTACAGCCATTCCTGTCAGCCTGAACCACCCCCACCTCACCTTTATGCTTACAGGCGGTGCCTGGCAACACAGAGGGGGGAGGCTTGCCCTAACGCTGTCGCCCGCTCTGTGCCAGCCTGTCTGGGCTGTCTCATGCCCCGGTGCCACAGCTGCTCAGAGGGAGCCCCGAGACAAGGGCCCATTGTGCGGTGGGAGCTCACAGAGGGCTGGGGCAGGGTGGAGTGTGTGTGTGAATATTTTGCTGAGCTTGGGAAAGCCCCCCCCCACCCCCGCCCCCCACCCCCAGGTCCTCAAAGCTTTGTGTGCCAGGGGCACAATGGGGACCTCCAGAATGCCTGCCCAGGCACGACAGCTGGTGAGAGGGTGGCAGAGGGGGGCCAGGGCAGGTTGTGGGGCAGGAGGAAGGCAGGCATTTGGTAAAGAAAGGGCTGCTCACAGGAAGACAACATGGGGGTGGCATCAGAAAACCGTGCCCTGGTATTGGCCCGGGGCTTTGCCCAACTCTGGCCCTGCCTCCTGGGTCTCATCCACCGCCCCGAGGTCAGCCTGCTGGCCGGAGAGTCCACCCCTCGCTGGCCTCACAGCCAAGCTGTTCACACTGGGGACTGACCAGCAAGGAAGTTCCCAAAGGGCAAGGTGTGGGCCCAAGAGATTGCGGCAGGGGGCCCTGCGGCCACTCGGGAGGGATAGAGAGTGATGGCCACAGGGGCTGGTAAGAACAGCATCCCTATGGGAGCGAAGGCCCAGCCTTGGCTCAGGCCGAGTTCTCGGCCACCTGCCTCAAGGTGACCAGTGGGAAAGGACAGGCTGCCTACAGGACAGGTTTAGGCCCCACTCCCCCCGATTCTTTACCTGTTCAAATTTTTTTTTTTTTCTCTAATTCCAAAAAAGAACAGTAAACCTTGTCACAAATCAAACACCCAGAGAGGTTCACAAGGGAAGTGCTAATGGCGGTCCTTCGCCCCCCCCCCTCCAGTTTGGGGTGCAGCCTTCCACGCTTCCCTTTGTGCTCACCCCTGTGGTGTGCGGAGGGGTGGCGAATCCTATCCCAGGCCGCCGCCTCTTTGCCCGTGGTGCTCTCCGCTCTGGAGAGAATCCACAGGACCTCCCCCCACGCTCCCAGGAGGGCAACCTCTCTGTGCCACGGTGCCTTGTGGGTATGAATTCCGTCCTTCTCTCACCTTGGCCTCTTCCCGGCTATCTAGGTCTGATTCCACCCCCAGCTTGTCCAGGAAGGAGCAGGTGAGGGGCTAAAGTCGTGGACACCCCACGCTAGGCCCTCCCTGGACCCTGAGCCTGCTTCCTCTCTCCTCCGTTCAAAAACTCAGGAAGGGCACAGCCAGGGGACCAGCATGTGGAGCCCACTGAGGGGCACACACTCCAGGCTCTGCTGCCCTGGGGTGCCCGCTACCGACCCCACCCATCCTGGGACCAACTCGTTCCCCACCGGCCTTCCGGGGCCGGGTCGGCGGAGCTGGGGGAGACAGAGGAGTCCCCCCGCGGGTGCGGTCCCGGGCCCCCTGAAAATGGCCACGTGCAGACAGAAAGCTGCGCGCGTGCGCACACCCAGCCCAAGGACGGAAAGGCTAGAGAGAACCCGACAAAGAGATGGAGATGGGCCAGCGACTAAGGCAGAGACAAATGGGGCTCCAGGAGAGCGCGAGAGGCAGGAAATCCTTCTAAACCAGGACACTGCCCCGAAACGTTATTGCTGTTATTACTGTTAGCTGGATGTAAAGGAGCAAGCGGGAGCGAGGATCCAGCGCGGGCGAGGCCCGCTGCCACGCGCCTCCAGGCGCTGCTGGCAGCCATTTTAGCCCTTGGCAGCCATCTTACGGCTGGCGGCCCAGCCAGCGTCCCCACAATGCCACCCCCGCCGGCCCCCGGCATGCTCAGCTCGGCTCCGGGACAAAAGGCAGAAACCCTGGAAATCTGGACCCAGGCTCGGAGGCTCAGGAGGCAGCCCTGCAGCAGGGGTGGCTTCAGCCAGGGCCCCACCGTCCTGCTCCAGCGTGCGGCACCCCCTTCACCCTCGGGGGCCAGCACCCAGCAGGAGGAGAAGGGAGGGTTGAGGCAGGGGGGCCCTGGGGACGCCACGTGCTACTCAAAGGCAGCCGAAGCCCCCCGTGGGCCATCCCCGGGCCCAGGGGCTCAACTAGGACCCCTGCCCTGGCAGGACAGGGAGGGACACGAGGGGGGGCAGGCCGCCCTCGTCCACCCGGTGGGCTTAGGGGTGCGCCTTGGACGGACGGGGGCAGGGGACTGGCAGGAACCCATACAGCAGCCGTGGGGCCCAAACCGGCCACCGGGCCCTGGTGGGCAGGCTTCTAGGGAGGGTAAGGAGAAACCCCACCCCTCCCACCCCAGGAGTGGGAGCCAGCTGGGCCGGCCTTCGTGGGCTCTTTGGGGAGCCGCGCCTGGAGGTCGGGGCTTGCTCTAGACAACCCTCTGGGATCAGCCTAGCCCACCGGGGAGCACGCCAACCCAGCTTCGTGACTCCCTTCCCTGTTGGGCTCCCTGGGGGAGGGGATAACCCCAGGCCTCAGGACAGACGGGAGGAAGGTCCCTTTATGACACCCCTCCCCACGCCCCGCCTCATGGCTGTTCAGCTTTTATCTGGCAGAATGGGGCTTATCAGAGCCACCAGCTGAACAAACATACAAATCCACGGTTAGTGAGAAAAAACCCTCTGCCTGAACTCTTTATCTCCTGTTCACAGGCCCCACGCACTGCCCCCTGCCAACAGCACAGGAGGAGACCTGACTGCTGCGCGGCGGGGGCTCCTGTCTCCGCTGCCCCCCCTTCTCCCCTCGCCCCCGACCCAGAACAGGGTGGCTCTCCCCTGGCAGTCCCTGCCGGGCGGGTTTGCATGGGAGCCCCCCTCCAGTGTCTGCTTTCTCACCAGGGATAATGGGCCAGCTGGTGGCCTGTGGGCCAGTGGAGGGGCAGGGACAGTGTTGGCTGGCACAAGGCAGACAGGTGCCCAGCTCCATCTTTTATCCTCCCTCCCCCAACCACCCGGCCCACGCCCCGCCCCCCCCCCCAGCCCCCAGAGGCTGTTACATCCCCTGGAAGCCTCTGTGGCCTCGGCTCTCCCCAGCCTGGCTGCCAGAGCAGTGGGGACCCTAGGTACACACCCCCAGTTCAGGGCCACCCTGACCAAGGTCAGCAAAGCAACCCTAAGCCCGCTGCCTACCCCTCTCTTCAGAGACAACTGCTGCCTTCACATCCTAGAGACCGGAGAGGGGACGCAGCAGCCGGGGCGGGGGGGGGGGGGGGGGGCACCACTACCCGCTCTTGGCCTTGACGCAGCTCAACCTTTCCCTCTTTCCTGGCGCCGAGGACCAAAGAGCACCTTCCCTGGTTTGAAGCTTTCTCACATGAGGCCTATCAAATATAGCCTCCTAGGAACAGTCCAGCCACTGTGTTTGATGCCCTGGGATGCACGCCCTGGGCACGCAGGCATCAGGGTCCCTGAGCCCGGGGCCAGGTTTGGGGACGGAGAGAATCTCAGAGCCCACAGCCTATTCTTCATGCTGCCGAGGGTCACGCCAGCTCATGTCACCCACAGGAGCATGCTCTGCTGACTGCCCTCTGCTTGGGACCTGGGCTTCGCATGTGATCCACACCTTTGAGGGAGAGGCCACCTGCCAGTAGTGCCTTAGGGCTCTGGCCGCTGCGGAGGCTTCCAGAAGGGAGGATTATGCAGAGGCAGGTGACAGATCTGGACTCTTGTCTCAGCATGGCTCCTGGGTCTGGGGCTACTCCCCATTCGTCTGCACACCTGTCATCGGTCACCCCCCTGCATCAATGGCTTGTGGCCTTCTGCAAATACCCGGACCTGGGCCAAGCTCGGCCAACAGTTGGCAGGCAGTGTGGACCCCTCTCTTCCTTAGGGCCCTTCACATCCCCTGGAACAGCCACGAAGCTCCCCCTCCAGCCCTGCCTCTCTCGACCCTCCACCAGCCCTCCTCAGCCCTCGAAGCCCCACTACTTTTTTATGGAGCTCTTCGCCTTTCCCTTCGGAATCCCATTTCTGATCTCCTTTTTTCTCTGTCTTGGCTCCACACTCCTCTCTGTCCTTCCTTCTCCTTCATGTTCCCTCTCTCCCGCTCTCTTTCCTCTCCTGACCTTGCTGTTTCTGTGTGTGTGTGTGTGTGTGTGTGTGTGTGTGTGTGTGTATCCAAAAGGGACACTTCACTGGAGCTCTGGAGGGGAAGCTCCAGCAGCCAGGAAGAGCCCAGTGTTGCATCCGAACCCCAGTTGACAGCATGTTATATATATATATACATATATATATATATGTATATATATTTCCACTTACAGACGGGGAGATATTTACGGCTCCCGCTAGGTGAAGGACGAATTCCTGCTCGCTGCAGGGAACGCTCTGCCTCGGCTCCCACCCGAAACAAACTCTCTCCGCGAAAGGGGCCACATGCAACTTGCTGGCCGGCTGCCTCCACGCACATCACTGACAGAGTGAGCTCTTAGGTGGCCAAGAGGGGCGGAAAGACCCAGCTCAACCACACCCACAAGGCGCGTATACTGAGGCAAGCGCAGTCAACCGCGCACGCGCTTGGACACACAACAAGCGATTTCCTGCTGCCCCGTAGGGGTAGGAGCGGACGATGCACGCAGAGCCGTGGTCCCACCGGGCACGGCATGTTCAGTGCTAAGCACTGGGCCAGACAGGAGGCCACCTCTAGCTCGGCCGGACCTCTGACCTTTGGGGGCTAGCGAGGACAACCCCCGGAGTTTGCAGTTTGCTTGCCCCTCCCCAGGCTTTCTCCAGGTCTGGGGTTCGGGAAGCAGGCGGGAGCGTGCGCTGTTCTGGGGGTCCTCTGAAGGGCCGATGCAATTCAGGAGCTGATCCTGGCCCTCCCCGGTGTGACACTCCCCTCCCCCTCCCTGGCTCCCCCTCTTCTGTGATTCCGGAGCATCCAGGGCACTGGAAACCCAATCTCAAGGGGAGCCAGAGGCCTGGCCTGCGGCAATCAGAGCCGGAGAATGTAACTATTGTGCCTCTTGAAACCTAAGTCTGAGAATCTGAGACACCCTGAGGAGGGGAGCCGTGGACGGATGGGGGGCTAGGGAGACGGGTCACAGAGGGGTTCTCCCCATCTCTGCAAACAGGAGACCCAGGGACCCAGGAAGTCCTTGAGAGTGCAGGGCAGCCAGAGGGCAAAGAGGGGAGGGGCTCGGCCTGGGCCCGGCCCAGGGGCTTCCTTCTTTCCACTCTGTGCTCCGCCCCCAGCTTCCTGCCTACACAGGGGCCCCGGAGCCATCCTGAGGTTTATCCCTCTTCTGTCACCCCTAGAGCCCCACGTGGTGGGGACAGGAGCATGACCAGGAAGCACAGCCCTGAAGATCTGGGCAGGGTGTGGCCAGGGGCAGGATAGGCACACACGTCACCCCCTCATTACCTTCCTCTCTCCTTGCCTCACTCCCCCTCTACTCATGGATCTGAAGCGGCTTGAGCCTTTGACCTGAGTCATCACCTGTGCGGGGGGGTGGGGAGGTGGCGTGCCGGTCACACCTCGTAGGCTAGACCTGCTCTGGCTGCCCCTGAGGCCTGAGCTCAAGAAGGCCACGAAGGGAGGATGGGGCAGGGACAACAGATCAGGCCGCAGGGAACATCTGGATGGGACACGGCAGTCGGCAGTCGCAGGCCCTGGCCCTGGAGGCAAGCACGACCGTCCCCACCGCCACCCACCCTGCCTCCGCCAGTGCCTGTCTGTGGTCCTCCCCTGGTGTGAGCTGCTCAGCGTTCTCTGCCCCGCACCCGACGGGAGAACCTTCCTTGGCATTGCCCCCAGCCCAGGGAGAACTAGAGACGCGACCCGGTCACTGAAGCCCAAGGGAACTGGGTGCCCGACTGCTTACTCCCATGAGAGGACAGACAGTGGCCCGTAAAGGAGACAGGAGGAAGGATACACCTTGGTGCAGAGCACAACACCCAGCAGGTGGATGGAGGGGCAAAGGCCAGGTCCGTCCGCAGGTTGGGGGCCTCTCCACGCCCAGCCCGGCAGGCAGCCCTGGGGGATGCGGGCGGACCCACGGTCTCCTCCCGGGTCCCCCCTTTGCAGGGGACTCAGCACCGACCTGCGAGACCTCAGACGTCAGTGCTCCGTGGCTCTCTCTGAACAAGCAGACCCAGTGCCTTGCAGTAACACCATCTGGGGTGTTCCAGAGGTGCCCAGGGGCCAGCAAATCCCATCAGGTCAGAATTCCTGTCAGACAGGGATTGGGGGTGAAGTGGCCCCTACTGAAGAAGCCAAAGGAAGGGGTCTTTGGGGAGGAGGGAGGAGGGAGGAGGGAGGAGGGAGGCGGGAGCACCCCCGCCCCGGGCCCTGGCCCACCTTTGCCCAGAGCCTGCCCTTGGCCTATCCAGGGGAGATGTCCTTGGTCTGGACCCCGTGTCTGCTCTAAGTGGGGGGCTCACCCCAGCACAGGGAGGGCAGAGGGGGATAGAGGTGGATAACCAGCGACAGTGGAAAGGGGCTCCTCTTGAGTTCACATCCATGCTCTAGAATCTACCAACGCAGTGACCTTGGCCAAGTTCTGAGCTGTTTCTTCCTCTGTTAAATGCAGGTGCTACCCACCACCTAGGGTTCCTGGGCGAGGAAAACGAGAAAACAGGTAAAAGGTGCTTCACCTCCATGAGCTGAAACTGCTCCTCCTTCTCCCACTCTGCTCACAGGCTGCTTCGTGGGGGAGTGTGGCTGGCCCTCAGCTCCCTGCCCTCAGGCGTGCATACTCTTTATGACACCCTGAGCATGCCCTGGATTACTATTTTTCGGTGGCTTGCCCCAGAGAACACAGCCAGTAAGCTGAGGGGCTCCCTCAGGGCCTGGCCCATGACGATCTGCAAAGAGGGGCAGAGAGGTTTGTCTGGAAATGAAAGCGGGATGCCTTCTACAGGCGTGTCCCTCCCCCCCAAAGTCAGTGGTCACGGTAAATGGTCTCTGGACGGCCACCACACTGGAAATCCCCTTACCCGGGGGATGCGTAAGGGCAACAGGGAAGGGGGAGAAAATGCTTGTGCCCCGGATTCTGAGGACGCTGGGCCCTAGGCCCCGCCTAGCCGAGCCCAGCGGTAAGGGTATAGAGAGCTGAGGACACCAGAAGCATAGGTGCTGCCCCAACGGGTGCCCAGCTGCCTCTCCTGGGAGCGCCGGCCGGTGCCACGGCTCAACCAGCAGCTGGAAGCCAACATTTCCAAGAGGGCCTGGGGCCGGGAGTCATGTCATAGTGGGGTCCAGAAGAGTGGCCCCCAGCCCCTAAAGCTTCTGTCCCCTCCTCAGCCTCACAGACAGAAACTGACAGTGGGCCCAGCACACCAAGAAAAGGCGGGCCCTGTGGAGGGTGTCCCCCCATCCAGGCTCGGGGCACGCGGAGCTGCTCCCCCCCCCACCCCCACCCGCTCTATTTCCAGCGTTGCCCTTTCTGGCCCTGTAAGCTGCCCGGGCCTGGCCAGACAACTGCCCCCACCTCCAGCTGCTCTGAGGACTATTAATAGTGTCCCCACCTCCCAGGGTCAGGCATCACCCTCCCCCCATCCCCCAAACACACTTGTCCTTGGTCGAATTATTTGTTAAGGCACAGAGTCCTCTGGGCGCTAATGCCAACCAGGGATGAGAAGTGACGGGGGGGGGGCACAGAAGCTCTGGAGGGACACACCTGACACAAGTGGGAGTTTGGAGAAAGGAGAGAAGGAATCAGTGAGCCCCCGAGCGAGAGAATGACAAGAAGACAACGTGAAAACTGAGAGAGAGAGAGAGAGAGAGAGAGAGAGGGGCCAAGACAGCACATCAGAACCAAAGCAAAGTGGTTCAAAACAAGGCTGCCATAGAAAGAAATCAGAGAGGGGGAAGGTTCCAAGAGGGAGGAAAGAGGGAAGAAAGCAGAGAGAGAAAGAGAAAGGAAAGGAGGAAATGATTCCTTTAAAAACAAACAAACAAACAAAAGAAACCACCACAGAAACAGAAGGGGAGAAGACTTTCCTGAAAATACCCAGGAGCGGCTTCCTAAGCACAGCTGTGCTGCAGCCAGCCGTTGGCTACAGAGGGCACTCATCAGGGTGAGGGCCTGGAGAGCCCCCAGGCCAAGGAGCCACTACCCACACACCCTTGCAATGTGCTGGGGAAGGGCGGGGAAGCAAAGAATGAGAAGAAGGGGCAGAAAAGGAACAACCGACCAGGAAAAGAAGGTGGCAGAAGTGAGTCCCCACGGAGAGGAAAGGTACCCTCAGCCCTGGGCAGGGGAAGCCTCCCACACGTGGAGCTTCCTTACCTATGGAAGGACGGACAGGCTGGCCAGGAGACGGCGGGGACGGGGCACCATGAGGGCTCCCTGGCCTCCTTGTGTTCCACGCTACCTCTCCCGTTGTGGCCATGAGCACGGTCTTACCCCACCTGCCCCCCTTTCCTAAGGAGAATCCAGGGGGCCTGGGAAGGAGAACCCACCTAAGCGACAGCAGGCCGAGGCCACCTGCCTCCTACCCTCAGGCACTCTAACTTCCTCAGCCCCCTAAGGGGCAGCACCTGACATTCAGGCTAAAGGAGCCTCTTTACCAAGGACTTGCCTTCTGCGGGGAGACAGACTTGGGCTCACGGAAGGGCAACAAACACAAACATGTGCCACAATCAGAGGTCTAAGTGGAGGACTGCTGCCTGGAGTCTGGAGGCCAAGTAGCCCTTCCTTCAAATCCCATCCACACTGGGAGCCTCTGGCTGGGCCAGGGCTGGAAGAGTGGAAAACTCTGGCTTTGGAGGGCTCAAGAGCCCTAAGGACTTGGCCACCAGGCCTCCCAGGTCCAGGGGTTCCTGCCTGGGAGCACCCCACCAGACCATCATCCCCTTGGGGTCAAGGCCTATCAGTGTTTTGTTCACGACTATATCCGCCACACCTGGACGTGCAGTTGGGAGCGGTTGACAAGACTCTAAATAGATCCTTCTAGATCCTTCTTCCAACTGTGGCTACACTGACCACCCGGGGGACAGAAGCACCAGGTGTTTGGCACCTTCCGCGTCCCGAGAACATTTTTTTCCTGCAGGTCCATCCTTGACGCTCAATACCCGAGGAATTGATGTGGAAACCCCAGTAGCACTAATTCTCCTGCAAAGCCCAGGTGGCCCGGAGTGCAGGCCTGGCCACACAGACCCCCGCGCCCGAGGGCTGGACTAACCAGAGGAAGGATGCAGTGTCTCCCTGTGGAGGGCAGGGCAGCGAGACGCTCTCGCCAGCTTGCTCTGCTCCCCACTCCCCAGCCCCCCCCCCACCCCCCGACGCCTTCAGGCAGCCACCGTCCAGAGCTGTCCAGATAAGACGTGAAGAAGAATCTGGGCCTCTGACTCAAAATCTCCAACTTACAGCCCTGAAAGCCCAGGCTGGGTTGAATAAGTGGGTAGGCAGGTGGCCTCCTGAGGGGATGAGACGGCTCTGGGTACCAGAACGAGCCCTGGGCCTGGAACCCAAATCCCAGGCCTGCTGTTATGAGGCACCCGGTGGTCTCCTAGGCCTCCTTTCCCTCCCGGTCCAACCCCTGCCAGGCTTGCCTTGGACGGCACAGCGAGCTGCGAGTAGGGATTTTTACAGAGAAGACCCGATGGTTTTATACTCTATAAAGCGTGAGGCACACATAAATAAAGCATAGATGGGTCAAGGAGGTCAGCTTCCAGGGCCCTGTGTCTCAGCTTTGCTGTGATCCTGAACAGCAGCTCGAGGGGCATCTCCCAGAAGCTTGGACCTGCACACAGTACTGAGGCTGGCCACCTGTCAAAGGGCAGCTACACAGAGTCACAGGGCTGGGATGGTCCGGGCTGCTAGATATCGACCCTCCAGGTTGGCAGGTGCCGAGTTCTCCATTGACAATGCCCCGAAGGGCCAGATGGGGCTTTCCGGAGAGTGGGGCAGCTGGGCCCAGGGGCCGCACCCCCGGGGGAACGGCGCGCTGCATTCCCGGACGCCGTAGCTAGGTGGCGCAGCGAGTTAACACTAGCTGCCCTCCGCCGGCAGCGCCGGGGACCCGGCCGGGGGCGGGGGCGGGGGCGGGGGCGGGGGCGGCGAACCTGCGCGCCGCCCGCGGGAGGCTTCAGGGGCCCGGCTTCCCTCCGCAACACCCACGAGGCCTGAGCAGGAAGGAGGACCCGGCCAGACCTAGGCCGCTCGAACCCAGGGCTGTGCTGCCCGAGGCAGCGGCTCCCGTTGCTGCCGTTGCCGCTGCCAAGCACATCCCGTGATGTAATGTGAGGGCCGAGCTTCCCGTTCTCATTGATTAGGAACAGCTTGCGGTGCGGGGGCCGGATGGAAGGGGGCCGGGGAATGGGCGAGCGAGGAGGAGCGGGAAGGGGGGAGCTGCCAGGTGCATGGCTGTGGGGGTAAACCAGCGAGCCCGGGCCCACCCTGCACGGCGCCAGCGCGCCGCTCGGTCCCTACCTGCCTTCCCCGGAGCGGGGCTGCTCTGGATGTGGGCGAGTCTGCGGCCGCGTGACCCCAGGACTGTTCCCAACACTCCCACGACGCCCCCACCTTTGGGCAGCACAGACCTGCCCCTGTACTTGATAAACGCTTGTACTTGATAAACGCCTGAAGAGGAAGATTTCCGCCTCCCGCCCCCCCCCCGCCCCCGCCTCTCAAAAAGTTAAAAATGGAGACTAAAAGTCAGAGATCAGGCACCAAAAAGAGGGAGAGGAACGGAGAAAAGTCAAGAAGAAGAAGAAGAAGAAGAAGAAGAAGAGGAAGAAACAAACAACAGCGCTCTCTGCAGTGGCGGCAGCCGTCGGGCAGGCACACCCTCCCAGGCGGGTGTGGAGAAAGGCCCCTTTGTTCGGCAGGGAGGTTAGCCGAGGTGAGGCCCGCTCCCCCCACCCCCCTGACCCTGGGCAGTGCAGATCGCTGATCAGGGCTCCGGACTGGGTCTGGCCGCTTCCCTGACCCCCCAGTCCTTCTCCCACTTCTCCTGTCAGCCAGTGGAGCAGCCTAGCAGTGGGGGGTAGTGGGGGGAGCCCTGCTCCGTACCCCCTGCCTTGTCCAAGTACCTAGGGTCACACACGTGGGGCTGGGCTGGGCTGGATCCTCCAATGGGCCTTCTGGACGCCTGCGCTACTGGCCATTAGCAGTTTGCCCTGGCTGCTCTTAAGCTGTGGGGTTTTTTTGGGGGGGGGGGGTGGGGGCAGATCTGCATGCAGCAGGCCCCCCCACAAAAGCATGGCCAGGGAGGGTGGCACATGCTAGAAGATGGAGCCCCAGGAGGCACAGGCTGGCCGACTACACCCCTCCCGCCCACAGTGAGGCCCAGGGTGTCCCCTGTACCTATTCTAGACATGGGACCTTTCTAATACCCTTGGGCTCTGGGCTATAGACAAGGCTCCTGCAGGGCTTCCTCAAAGTGAGGGCTGGGTTCTGGCGCTGGAGTCATCCTCAGATGAGAGACAGGGACTGAGGTCACTCCTGTTTCCCAAGAAGGGGCCAGAGTGGGGTTGTAAAGGGAGACTGAGAACAGGCCCACCTCCACAGCCTGCCAAAGCACAGGCTGACAGAGGGAGCCTGGCAGCAGTGGGAGGCAAGAGACGTAGAAAAGCATCCCCTTCGCCTTGCACACCCTATGCCCTACCCCACCCCATGGGCTCAGGTTGGGGAAAGGACCTGAGGCACGGTAGTCCTCTCACCCCAGCACTGTGTGCCCTCTGCTGGCAATCCCGCTCTGCCCATTAGGGCGGGCGGGCAGGCGTGCGGGCTCCCCGGAGCCCTCGGGCCTGGCAGACAGAGCTGGATGGCTGTACATCGGGCCAAGAAGTGCGTCCCATTTCCAACCAGTGACACCCTGTAGCTCCGGACCCTGGCATGGGGCAGCAGGAGACCTGGAACGAGGGACCGGACTGGACCGGTCTGCTCCAGCCCCCTGGCCTCATGCTAGGGGGTACCTGCTTTTCGGGGAGGCCCGACCCCCTGCCAGCAGTATCTAAGCGCAAGGCAGGGAGCGGAGCGGAGAGGAGTAGGGTGTCGCTGACCTGGCCCTTCCCAGGCCCCTGGCTTGAAAACTGGGGGAAGGCCGAGGGGAGAGGAACAGCAGCAGCTGGAATCGCAGGGAGCCTGGACCATCCTGTCCGGAGCTGAAACGGCTGCGAGAAGCTGCAGCTCAGATACACAATGTCCTGCCAAACCCCAGTCCTTTAATTCAATTAAGCACGGGACAGACTTCCCAGATTTTTCTGTGTGTGTGAGTGCATGCGAAAGTCCTGATGTGTGTGAATCCGGGAGCTGGGAGCATGTGGATGTGTGAATCCTGATGGGGGCAGAGGAAGACAAAAAGGATGCAAATATTGGGGGAGGAGAGGGGTGGGTGGGGCAGGATGGCTCTTGGAGAGGGTGGGTATCTAAATCTTGCCGGAGGGCCAAACTCCAGGGTTCTCAAAAACCCCACCCCATGGCCCATTCTCCGTGGTGGGGCAGGATTTGAGCATCTCTGGCCTCCACCCACTAGATGCCGGTAGCATCACACCCCCTCAAGTAGTGACGACCAAAAGTGTCTCCGCCCTTGGCGAATGTCGCCTCGGGGGAGAATCAGCCCGGTGGGACCCGCCACTCTGGGGCACGAGATGAAAACCGAGACTCTCGTATTTACTACCAGGGCCTTGCCCTACCTCTCCCCCTTTGGGCTTAAATCCCAGTGGCTTGACTTCCCAAGAGTCTCAGGTCTGGCTCTTTTTTTTCTGAAATATTCTCCCCCACCTTACCCATCTGGCCAGAGGAGTCTGAGGGCAACTCCAGCTCAGCAATGGTCTGGTAAGCAGCACGGAGCTAGGAGGTGACTTGCCCTCACCTCCACAGAGGAAGGGAAAGCTGTCATGGTTAAAGTCAGAAGCCAAAGTCATGCCCTGAACCAGACCTGAAGCCTGACCTCTGTATCGCTGGAGTAGGGGGGGGGGGGCAGCGGAGTCCACAGGAGAGGTGGGGACTTGCCTGGGGACAGACCCCTGGAAAGGTACGCCACCCTGCTCAGTCCCTGGAGGTCGGTGGAAGGAAATCAGTGCACCACCCTCTCAGCATCCTACCGCCCCTCCTGCTTGGGGGCTCCAGAAATGCTGGAGCTGGGTGTCCCCAGCTCAGCCCTAGCAGAGGCCAGCTCGCCTCCCCTGTTCCCGGGGTCACCTGTGGCTGTCCTGGCAGGGATGGGGGGAGGGGAGACTTAGTTCCAGCAGCCCTTCTCCCCGGGCCCAGGGAGCTTGCTTCTCTCCCTAAGCCCTCCTGGAGCCTCGAACAGCCCCCTTCTGGGAGCAGAGCCAAAAAGATGGGAGAAGGATGTTTATAAGCTGCTAAAAGGGAAAAGGAAAAAAGTGGGAGGTGGGGCGGAAGGCCCAAGCCTCCAGGTAGTGAAGACTGGAGACTCAGGTAGGGAGAGAAGCAGGGAAGCCACCTTCCCCAGTGAGCCAACATCTGGCTAAACTGACAGGTGGTGCCCCCCCACCCCCACCCTGCCCTGCTGGACCACAACCAGGCCTAACCATGTACACACGCAGGGGTCTCTCACCCCACGCTGACCTGCCAGGTGACTCCTATCCCACCCCAGAGCGCGCTGAGACACTACTGGTTTGAGCTTGTTTCCTCCGCTCAGCCTGGGAAGGACAGAACCAGGGAAGGGTGCAGGGCCCTGGGGAGCCCAGGCTGGGGGTGTTGTGACAGGAGCCAGGCTTGGCGGGAGCGAAAGCCGAGTCCCCAGCTCTGGGGCTCGGCACACAGCTAATGGGAGGCTGGCAGCGCAAATTGTTGTTTACTTTTAATTAAGTAAACAATGTCGGCTTTCCGCCTCCTCCCCTGCCATCCCAGCCAGTAATTTGGGGGATGACAATGGGGTTGTTTCCTTCCTCCTGCCTCCTTCCCTCCCTCGAGCACTCCTGCTCACTCCCTGCTCTGCTCAGCCTTTACAACTTGCCAGTGCTGGGTGAGGCCCCACCCAGGGGGTCGGGGGGGGGGGGGAACAGGAAGGTCCAGGCTGACGGGCAGGCTCTCTGGGGAGCAATCTCATGGTCAGGTTCACCTCAGGTGCCAAGGGCAGCTAAGCACTTGGATGCGGCCCATTCTCTTTCTGCCCCCTCCCCCCCCCAACCCTCGTCCCTAACCACCAGCTCGAAAATCTAAAAAACAGGTGATCCAGAGTCTGAGCAAAGCAGCAGCGGAGACCAGAGCCCTAGGTGAGGAAAGTATTTTCCCAGGAGTGGGATAGGTCTTCCCCGCAGGTAACCAGAAGGTGGACCTTCTGGTTCACTGGGGCAGGGCAAGGGCACGCCCGAGGCTGGTTCATCTGTGGGGCTGGATTTCACGGAGCCAACTGGCAGCTTTCCTCAGAAGCAGGCTGGCTTTGGGGCCTTGGTTTCTGCTCTTCCTGTAGGTGGTTCTCCTGAAAGGCTGGAGCAACCGAAGAAAGCAAGCGAAGCTGGCTTTTCACTGAGTGGGTCCCCTAGCCTGGGGGGGGGGGGTGGTGGTGGTGGCGGCGCAGACACAGGGCTCCCCCCGAGTGCAGGGGCAGCAGGCAGGAGGGGCTGAACCCTAAGTCTTTGGGAGAGGCTGACTTTCAAATTACTCCCGGCGGGATCGACTTGCACCCAGGATCTCTGTGGAGACAAAGCGCTCTTCGCACCCTTTCTCAGTAAACCTGTAAATGGGTCCACCTCTCTGAGGACCTCCGCCCGCAGTGGGGGCTCTACGAATGTGGTGGAACTGAGAGGAAGGGAGACGAGGAGAATCTCCCCGTCCCCTCTCCCGCCTCTGCCTCCCCAGGATCCAGCTGTAGGGTCCCGAGCCAAGCCTGGCCCTGGAGCTCACTTGAGTCCCCTCCTCCCCCGAGAGGCCGGAAGACTCTCTCCAAGGTGTTGGGGGGGGGGGTGGCAGGGAGGAGGGGGTCTGAGTCTTGTGCAAGCCCCGCTCCTCCCCCTGCCCAGGGCTGCTCCCCCACCTCCTTCCGAAGGGCGGGACTGCGGCAGCAGAGTTGGCTCGGGCTGGATGCAATTTCAGCCGCAGAGCAGGGCTCCCTGGCTGGAAGCAATTTTCTCATTAGGACCCCAGGCCTGCCTGCCCGTTGGTTCTCAGCCCTCACTCCCCTTCTGCGAAACCGCACCCCACAGGCCTCCCCACAGACCACTCACACGCACAGGGAGCCACACGTGTACAAGTCAGAGGGGGCGATCACGGGGTCACCACAGTGGAGCCGGGCGCGGGAGAGAGGTGCTGGCACAAAGCCGTGGCCGGGGAGGCCCTAAGCGGAGGCCGGAGCTCCCCCTCCACCTCCTAGGCGCCCACTTCGGGCTCCCAGACCCAGACAGCTGGCTCCTCCCTGCTGCCCCAGGGAGAGAGGATCGCGGACCCCAGAACCGGCAAGGGAGGCCGGCGGACCTCGAGCCCCGCGGAGCCTCAGGGCCGGCCTCCTCGCACAGCGCTCCCGGGAGCCCCGAGCACTCAGCCGCCTCCACGGCCCTCCTCGCCCAGCTGGGCCGGCGGCAAGCAGATGGGCTCTCGGGAGGCAGACCCCCTCCCCCAGCCCCGAGGCTGCTCCGAGTGGAGGGTGGTCTCCGGCGAGGGAGGGGAGCCGAGGCCCTGCGAGGGGCGGCTCCTTGCTCCGCAGACACATGTGGTTGGACTTAAAAAGCTATTAGGGAGCGAGGCGCTGGCGGGAGTGCGGCCGGCCCTCGCACCAGAGAGGGGGAGGGCAGATGCCGAGGCGGTGAGCTCAGCACCTCTCGCCTCCTCCCCGGAGGGGCCCCAGGACTCCTGGAGGACTCGGGGGACCCTCACTCAGCAGGGGAGTGGGGCAAGCCCTGGGGGAGGGCGGGCACGGCTGGGGGCCCGGGGCGGATTCTGGGAAGGGCTGCTCTCTGAGGACTCTAGGCCCAGGTCAGAGATCTCTGGGGGCGAGGGAGGTGGTGCTGGGGCTGGGGGGGGGCCCCGGGGGGGGGGGGGGGGCACAGACAGGTCCCCAACCTTCCTTCAGCTTTCTGGGGGTGACAGCCGGCTATAGGTCGCCTAAAGCGTGTGTGTGTGTGTGTGTGTGTGTGTGTGTGTGTGTGTGTGTGTGTTTAGTGGGGCTGGGGGAGGGGGATTATTAGGAGAGCTTGAGAGAAGGAAGGGAAAAGTGGGCCCCACCCATCACGAGGCCAGAAAGAACCCGACGGAAAGTTCCCTAGAGCCGCCAGCTTGTAAAAAGCTTCTTTTCTTTCCAAATTATGAACATTTTTTTTAACAAGGGGGGGGGGGACCCCAGAGCAGCAATCTAGGACTTCATTAGGACCGTGTGTGACCATGAGTAACTGGTGACTGGAGGTGACAGGGGGTGTATCTGCCGACTTTCCAAAGTGCTCTATTGCTAAAAGCACAGCTGTCTCTCCATTGGGCTCCCTGCCTTCACCCTTTCCAGGTCCCCTTATTCAGAGATCTAGCCCCTGCCCTGGCCCACGTCTAACCCAAAGAGGGCTGCCCAACGCTGTTACAGATTGAGGTAGGTGCCAGGAAGGGCAGGGGGCACAGGGAACAGGACCATGCCTGGTATTGGTGGGCCACTGTTAAGGACCTAGCTCTATCCCACAGGAGGGCAAGGGCTCCCCTAGAGTAAGCCTTGTGTTCTGGGTCTCCCATGGGACTGTAGGAAGTGTCCCACTCAAGGCTCTGGAGACCCTCTGAGCTCCTTAGCCATCCACCGAAGTTACCACCAGCTCCCCAAGCCCCCGGGGTGCAGTGCCGATGCGGGGGAGCTTGAGTGACTTGGTACAGCCACTGTGTGGCAGGCAGGAGCTGGGTGTTTGGGAGACATTTGACCGGTCTGATGGTTCCACGGGGTAGTTATTTCGCCCATTCGCACAGAAGGGAACATTAAGGCTCAGCGGAACGGACTGAGATCAGTCAGAGCCAGGATGGCTGGAATCTCAGCTTGCCCCTGATAGCTCTGTGGGCCCAGAGGCTGAGCTCCTAGGGCTCTCCCTTCTCGACCCACATCTGTTGACAGGAGGGATGGGAGCTGTGGGAGGACCCTGGGCAGGGCAGCAGAGAGGGGACTGCTCTGAGCCCCGAGGAGTTGGGCCAATGGGGGAGGAGCTGACCACTGAGCTGGGATCTGTGCTCAGGAAACACGCAAAGAATGTGGCTGGCAGCGGGCCAGTGGGCCAGGACCACAAAGAGGCCTTTGTTTTAGGAGGTGTCCAGGGAGTGGATGGACAGAAGGCAGAGGTGGGGGCAGCACCCCTTATGGGTGCGACCAGGGGAGGACAGTGGTGCCTGCACGGTCCCCCCACACCACCCCCTCATGTCTGGCCCCCGCACCCCTCGTTCCAGCAGTGGTGGGTTCTCTTATCAGGCCCCAGAATATGGGGGAGGGAGCCCTTGGGGCCAGGTTACCTCTCTTCTCAGCTCCTGACCTCACTCAGCTTGGGGGGTTGGTGCTCTGTCCCAAATTCAATCCTACTGAACCCCAGAAGTCACTTCCTTTGCAATGTGATACTGCAGTCCCTAGGAGCCCTGTGGACATTATCCTCGGCTTCTGCCTCCCCCCACCGGGGGGTGGGGGGTTTAAGTGAGGCCGGGCACATGTTGGGGATGGCAAAGTGGCCCTCTGACCTCCAGGTGGGCTGTCTGAGGTTCCAAAGTCACCCTGTTCCCCTGGTTTCCCTCCTTTCCACAGAGCGGGGGGGGGGGGGAGGCCTTGGAACATGTTCCCCACCCCACCCACCCACCCCCCCGCAGTTGCAGGGTTTCTCTGGCCTCTTCTTGGCATCTGGAAAAGTTTGGGAAACTTAAAAAAAATTTTTTTTGAAGAGTTTGTCTATTTCTCTCCAGCCTTGCCAGGGAGCCACAGCCAAGAGGAAGAAGGGAAGGAGGGGTCTGGGGGAGTGGGGGGACAGAATAGAAAGTCACAAGAGAGTAAGAGCACCCAGGGAAGGCGGGGAGCACCCAGGGGTGCCCCACTGGCCAGCTTGACCCCCAGCTGGGATTCCTGGGCCCACCGGCACATCCACAGGCAGTAAGAAAGACCCCTGCAAAATGTCAAGCCCACCCAAGCACACAAGGCCTGTGGTGGCCTCTCCCTGCTAGAGCCCCACCAGCGCTCTGTTCAGCACGTTCCCAGGGGCCATCGCCGGCCGACAAGTGTGTATCTAGTCGAGACGCGTGGGGCAGTAACAGAAGCTCAAAATGGGGGCAGAGAAGGCAGGCGGACGCCTGGCCTGTGGGGTTTCTTCTACCTGGGTGTCCTTCTTGCTGTGAGCAGGACGAGGCCAACGTGGGAACTCAGACTCCTGGGTGTCAGGGGCCGTACGGAACAATGCCAGAGGTCAACGTCCGTGTGCCCGGCATTCTCCCTCCCCTGGTGTGTGGGTGTGTTACACGCACGTGGGGGTGGGGGAAGCCCCCTGCAGCACGCAGCAGCTGATGCTATGCGGAGATGGCCTACGGTTCCATCAATGGGTAGAGTTAAGGGCACATTCCAAGAAAGGGGACACCGGTGGGGCACCTGGGTGGCTTAGTTGGATAAGCGTCCAACTCTTGATTTCAGCTCGGGTCATGATCTCACAGTTCGTGGGTTGGAGCCCCGCATCAGGCTCCGCGCTGACAGTGCAGGCCTGCTTGGGATTCTCCCTCTCTCTCTCTCTCTCTCTCTCTCTCTCTCAAATAAGCTTAAGAAGAAAGAAAGGGGACACATGTGACACACAACTCTTGAGAGGACCCAGATTGTCTTGTCTAAGTCAGGAGGGTGGCCCCTCATGCTGACATGGCCCCGAGCAGAGTCAGGGCCAGGGGGTTCTCCCTTGCATGACTCCCAACAATACAGGATGGGTCCCACCCGGAAGACCCTGCGCTATCTTTTTCTTTCTTTCCTTTCCTTTCCTTTTTTCTTTTCTTGTAAACTCTACCCCTAACGTGGGGCTCAAAGTCATGACCCCAAGATCAAGAGTCTCATGCTGTACTGACCGAGCCAGCCAGACGCCTCAACCCTTGCATTATCACCCTTCAGGTGACCCCCTCCTGTGCTCTGGGAATACAGTGATTGCTGGAGGGGAGGGTCCGTGCCCCACAGGGATGACTCCCGTCTGAGCTTCCCACCAAGGTGGCCAGCAGTTTGCCTCCTCAGCCTCCTGGGGACAAAGGTGCAGACGGGGGTGGGGGGAGTGGGCAGCTGGCAGAGGCTGGGGTGGGGAGGGGGCAGCCCGGAGGGCCAGCAGCACCTGGCAACTAGTTGGAAATGCAGATGCCCTCAGGGCAGGCCCAGGGATCGGAGCCTAACAAGCCCCCCAGGGGATGCTGATGGAGACTCCTGTGTGAGAACCACAGGCAAAGTGGGAGGATCCTGACCAGGATTGAAAATGGGAGGAGGAGGAGGAGGAGGAGGAGGAGGAGGAGGAAGAGGAGGAAGGAGAGACAGAGAG